CCCCCCATACCCTCCAGAAAGAAAAAGGAAAAACAAGAATGAAATAGTTATGGCTACCTTTTGTCAACTAGATCAGTTTTGTTACCAACAAGGACAATAATAACATCGCTGCCCCTCTCAGTTCGAACCTCCTCAATCCACTTTGAAGTATTTAAGAAGGACTGCCTGCCTGGAATCATTAAAAGTACAAAGTCACTTTAGCAAGGGATATATCATCTATGTAATTCTTTTCCAAGTAAGCATCTATAAGTAAGGATTACACATAAATTGAGTATGATCAAGAAAAAACTGCATAATATCGAAAAGTAACATACTTGCAACATCAAACACAATGACAGCAACAGAGGAGTCCCTAATATAGCTTGGTATGAGACTCCTAAATCTCTCTTGACCTGCAGTATCCCTGAAAAGGTATCACAAAAAGCAAATCTAAGAGCACTTTAAAATGTAAATTGACTGCTACACCCAGCATCAAGTGAACCAAACAAGAAGCCTAGCAAAAGTGAAATTTTTTCCCAATCAATGAAAACAGGTCAAAGGAAATTTATTACCAAGAACTAGCTAGAGAAGAATGCTTTGTCAGGCCAGGTTATTTTCAAAAATATGTCTAGGAATTTGACGATTACTGATAACCCAATAGGAGGGATAGAATTAAACATTAGGATCTCTCTTTCTCCGCCAGAAAACTGAAGCAAGATCAGCATATCTGAAGGCATCACTAAATAAATCTGTTTTAGCAAGAAAATATAAACTAACCAATTGCCATCTCCTGATATATGTTAACAACCCATAAAACCAAGGGGCTACATCACTTTTTATTGAATAGGGAACTCAAGACATCACATTGTACTGATAATTGTCTTACGTTGAATAGATTTATGCTATTTCTCCTTTACAAAATGGCACAAGGTGACGTATTAAGAATGTTATAAATAGCGTTTATGCTAATTAGAGCTTGAAGAGCAGGTATTGTCTCATCAAGAAGCATATCTTACCATAGCTGCAATCGTACTGTACGATCTTCAAGGTACATAGTCTTAGACAGGAAGTCAATACCAATTGTAGCCTGAACAAGAAATTAAGTAAAATGAGGATGAGAAGAAAGATTATTCTTCAAATTGAAATACTTCACTAGAAGAAGCGTAGCAGGGACTAGAAAATCAAGGTTACGAGCAGTTTCACAATCAAAAAGAGAACACAAAAGCTATTCCATCAAAGCATGGAAATTGAGGTTGTTCTAATCATAGTCTAAAAGTCGGCAAATCACGAAAAAGGTAAAGCAAGTCATTAACTGCCAAGGTTTAAGACTGTGATACATTATCTTGTCAACGATGTGCAAGGAAGAAAAAGCTGCTTTTCAGATTATTTAGAGACCGAGAAATATGGCATGACAAGCAATAAACTAGGAACAATTTCTCTATCCCACTGCTGAATGCTGAAGTGTATATTTCCAATACTTGTATAACAGAGGAGTTGATTACTTCACATTCAACGCTGCAAAACCTATCAGTCATTAAGGAAACCAACTTAAAGAGAGCAACGTACTCCACTCAAAATTTGAAAACAGACAAATAACCTATACTTTTGTACTACACTCTAACAAATAATATGACCAACAATGCATGGTGTGAAATATATATTACCGAATGCATGGCAGTGCACATGCCTCTCAGTATAAGCATATGATGCATACAAGTAGCAATAAATGTGTGTTATAGATAAAGATATTGAACAATCACTTGCTCACGAAATGCACACTCAGATATGTTCCAGATATAAAAGCATTATTTTCAGATGCAAGGGTATCCGACATTCAGATCTGTTTCAGATAAACCATACTATACAGCACCATTCTAAACGAGATTAGAAAAATTCAACCTCTATATAGAATCCTAGTAAGAATAACATGTCTTCACCTACTCTCTGATTCTACTATGCATAAATTTATCAAGTGATGCTCGAAAGACTAACCTTCCAATGTTAATGTCAAAGCTAAGCGTATACTGAATCAGGAACAAAGCGAACCGCAAAAGTTGATAGTAGCACAAATAAAAACTCTAACAAAAAGAAGATCATCAAGTCCTTATAGAGCAAACTAAATATCGCTAACAACAAGCAGAAGACAAATGTAATTAAGAAGCAGATCCCCAGAAAAAAGAGGTTAACGAATCACATGAATAATGAAGCAGAAAAAGTGTATACCTGATAAGTGTTATCGAATTTATCATACATGAATCGCGTGATAATACTGGTTTTGCCGACAGATTGATCTCCTAAGAAGACGAGCTTGTACTTCGCAAGAGCCGAAACTGGAGCCATATCTAATCGGATCTTTCGAAATCGCCAATTGAATCGCAGTTCAGAGATAGCGGATCCGATCAGGATTTTCCGACGGAGTATCAGAGATCTCGCCGGAAAATGATCACGGAGAAAGCGAATGGGAGTATGGATTCGTGGGTTTAGCGAGAGAAATTAAGAGTGTGTGTGTGTGTGTTTTATATGGGGAGGTAGCAGAGCGCGTGATAAGTGTTTTGAAGAGGGTTGGGCTTCGGCGAAACACGCAGTCTGTGTTCCGTAACATGGTTGCATTACTTGAATTTGGCACATGACATTTGCGGTGCGATTTGCTGGCTTTCGTAAAATAAATTTTTTATAGATTCCTTGTATTCATGTTCTTCTTTTTTCTATTTTGTACTATTTCTTTTTTGAAATCGCCTCTGATTTTCAAGTTGTAAAAGAGTTTAACTAATATTTACTTTAAATTTTACACCATTAGATTACTTTTACTTGTAGTAGTAATCTATCTTATTTTTAATATTAGAATCTTGTTATAAATAGAATTGTATTTAAGGTGAATGTCTATAATTTAGAGAGATTTTAGGGATTTTACTTAATGGTTAAGTCACTTTTTCCCTATAAATAGAGGGGTTCTATTCAATTATAATTCATCCCAAATCAATAAGAATTCTCTCTCTACTTTTTTCTGTAATAAACTTTTTCTTCTTTTATTGTTTTATAACACGTTATCAGCACGAGACTCTAACAAATTAAGTAAAGCCTTGGGATTGAGCATAATGATTGTCAATTGTTCCAAGAACTTCATTCATGATTAAATTTCGGATTTAAGGTAAGTATTTTACTTTATTTTTCTCTTTTAAATTCTTAACATTCTATAATTTGATTTTAAATACAAGCAAAGACGATAATTTTTTATTGTAACACTAATGGAAATTGAAAGAAATTATAACCACCCAAAGTAGTAAAATTTCTATGCCTTGCCATGATCAAATTCATGTATGATTGTGGGCAAGAATTGAAAACTCATTCCATTGAATTTGTTTCATTCTCATTCCCTTAAGAGAATGTGATAGCAGTATGTGATAAGTCTAAAAGAAGACAAAATTATTACTATGAATGTATCAATGGATGTGGACGTAGCAATAGACGAAATTGTAATCATCATCATTGTGGTAATGAGAATAATAAGAATTCTCAAAATAATCATTCACTTTGTGAAAGTAATATTTGTCATCGATTTGACATGAGATTTTGTAAAGCACATATTAGATGATTATGTCCATTCATGATGTGAATGTGACAACATGTGATTTATGAATACATATTCATTCTTTGACGAATATGAACGTACTAGTGGTAGTGAATATACCACACTCACCTCTAGAATGAGGTTTGAGGGGAAATAAGAAAATAATATCATTATTATTGCATGAATGGTCATTGGTCACATACCTATTGTACACCAAAATATTTTGGCGATGTAATTATTAAGGGCAACAGTAATGCAAGGAACAGATCTTGTATAGAATTCTGACCATGACCGTAATGGTATAACTTTTAAAAAAGATATTCACCATAAAAATATTGATGAATATGTGGTAGTACCAAATTAATTGAAAGCTCTGAAAGAGCCAATTATTACTATTTTGGATGAATAAAATTGATTATCAATAAGGCATTGCGTTGTAGTAAGTCTCAAAGTAACTTAATTGAGTTTCTAAAGTATTCACGAAAGCAATTCGTTATATTAATAAAGAAAATTTTTAATATCTTCTATTACTACAAATTGTAGCAAGATAATATGTATGTGAAAAATTACCCGCTTGATTTTTCAGTTTGTACTACACAAATAAAAGAATACCACAATAAAGTGGATATTTATTGATATAAAAACTCATATCATAATAAACTTGGAGTTTATTGATAATTGCACACATCATGGTGTAAATCTGAACTTTGTCAATATTGATAATTTATTCAGTTGGCATAATTGGTTTAGCCATGATAATTTAAGTATGATGTGAAAAAATAAAAGAGAATTCACATGGGTAAATATTAAAGAACTAGAAAATTCTGTTCGAATTCTCTTATGTTGTTCTTATTAATTAATAAACCAATTAAAATTGTGATTGAATCTCATGAATGCTGGAAATATAATATGTGAATATGGGCTCATTCACATGTCATGTATACCACATAAGATGCATCTATGAGATGGTTACATGTGCGATTCTTATTAATCCGCAACATGGTGTTTACGAGGTAACTTGCTCAATAATTTGATTTAGAGCATAATTTCCATATTTTTTATTCAAGATAGTTCATCTTGATAAGTTGGTTTATAACAGCTGGTTTAATAAAATAATTATTGAGTGTCTCCACTTAATAGCTAAACAATTGTTTATGAGAACAAAGTTATCTATATCAATTTGATATATGTCATATACCAAAGTATATTATTTCTCTCCTCACAAGTGGTTTAGGGTCAGGAACCAAATAATTTCATCTTATTATTATTGACGTGTAGGGTATATTTTGATTAATACCATAACGCACAAAGATGGTTCTCAAAGTCGAGGAAACAATTTAGTTTTTCTAACATGAGGGGGAAATATGATAAACAATTAAGAAAAAGTTATGTGGAATGAATTATCATTTGTACATTTAGATCCTCGAATAAGATAATATGAACTTGAAGTTCATAAAAAGATAATTTATTTGCAATATATTGCAAAGCATGCCAGACATAGTTGCTGACCGAAAGAAAGTAACAATATTCTCATTGCAAATGTTCATATTAAGTCTTAGAAGGACAAAGTCTATGGTACGCTTAAAGCGTATAGACATATCGATTTCAAATAAACTTCTTGATAAAGAAGACGAGCAAATGATCATAATAAAGGAGGCAAGTGATTTAGAAGATCACATGACATAAAACTTCATAAAATCTCACGAGAGATTCAGGTACCTGAAAATATGAATGAAGAGATCTCTATGTTATGCCTTTATAAAAAAGGAGGTTGGAACCGATATATATATATATATATATATATATATATATATATATATATATATATATGAGGATCTTAAGTGTGGAGAAACAATTCAAATAGAATTAGTTTCATATGAAAGACATGTAGTTTTGAATATGTAGTTCAAATACTTGAAAGTATAAAGTCAATAGTATGTGCAATCAGTTTTCGATATCTTATTTGTCTAGCATGACATGAAACTTGATATGCATCTAATTAAAGTCTATTATATAACATTATGACTTATATGACAATCCTTAGAAGGATTTAAATCGCTTAGACCATATATAATTTTTCGGTCATTCTAAGTGCTATTTGTGCACATATGTATCTTGCTATAATTAAAAGCATGGTAATGTGATAGCGAGAATACCTCTGCTATTTCACGACATTATATGAAGAGATTACATATATACAAGAATGGTGATTTCAAGGTGCAACATATTAATTCAAGTGATAATATGACTGATTTGTTCACCAAATCTCTACTGATGTCAACCTTCAAGAAACTAGTATACAAGATTGGGATGCGAAGCTCAAGGATGTAAATTGATGCTCTCATCAGGGGGAGTTAATGCGCGTTGCACTCTTTTTCCCTTACAAGGTTTTGTCCCACTAGGTTTTCAACGAGACAACTAAAAAGCGTATTGTTAGATAAGTGCACTCTTTTTCTTTCTCTAGAATTTTTTTCCCACTGGGTATTATTTTAGTTAAGATTTTAACGAGGCACCTTATCTGTTGAATAGACATTCAAGGGAGAGTGTTATAAATAAAATTTTATCTATGGTGAATGTCTATATTTAGAGAGATTCTAGGGATTATTACTTGGCGGCTAAGTCACTTTTTCCCTATAAATAGAGGAGTCCTATTCCATTGTAAATCATCCCAAAATCAATAAGAATTCTATTTTCCTACGTTTCTGCAATACTCTTTTCTTCTTTTATTGTTTCATAATAATTCTCACATTATAATCATTGTATAAGCTGTTCACAAGCTACACAACACCTTAATATCAAAAGGTAAATGTAATTCCCAAAGTGGGATCGCCTTTGTTAGGAAGCATTTTATCCCCAAATATGAGGTTTTTCGGTATGAATCCGAATTTAATCGAGTCTAATATAGATACCGGATGCCGGGTAATTAAAAATAAAATAAAATGTAATTCCCAAAGAAGAGCACTTGCCGCCAGGGCAGTAGGTGCCAGCCAAAGATGAATGAAAGGAAGATCTGCTTGTCTCCTCATTGGATCCGTTTGGTAAACATCTATTCCACTTTATTCTACACTGCTCTAAAAGACTGGTTCACACACACACACACACAAAAAAAAAAAAAAAACTTTTTATAAAAGAAAAAATTGGCTACAAAATTACCCAATTCATCAACCTGATCTAATAACACAAGAAAAAGGTAAAGATTAATTGAAAGTTTCGGATATGAGCCACGAGTATGGAGTCATGCTTATTTTGAAAGTGCTTTATTTTTTTACTAAAGACTTTTAGGTGCGAATTTAAATTTAACCCGACCTTAACACAAGAATTAAATACCATGTAAACACCAAAAAAGAAAGGGTAAAATTCAAAAATAACCTGTGTTACAAGTGGTAATTGAAAAATAGCGACAGTTTTAAAAGTAATCGAAATTTAGCCACATTTTATGTAAATATAAATCTGAACGAAAATACTGTTCAAAATCCGGAAAATATTCCAACATAATATACTGGAGTTCGAATTTTTTACATGTGAACTTTCAACATAATATACTGGAGTTCCAGCATAATATGCTGGAAGTTCATATACAAGTGCATCAATCTCCAGTATATTATGCTGGAACTCCAGTATTGCAGCAAAATAGTGACTATTTTTCAATAATTTTACAAACACCGACTATTTTTTAATTATCAATCAAAAAACTGATTAGCCCGTACTATTTTTACAAAAAAAAAGATAAAGGTAAATTAATACTTTAATAAAGTCTTGATTGCTTTACCTTTATCTTACAAAAAAGTACCTAAAGAAATTGAAGTGATCTTAATCTCCACGTATGAACAAGAGATAAAGTTACACAAAACTCATTAATAGTAGAAACACTTGTAGTTAAATTAGTAGAAAAGGACATGATAGTTATCACAAATTAGAAGGTTTAGATCAACCTTGCTTTTAGATCTTACAAAAAAGGTCACAATAGTACCACTAAGAAAGAAAGAAAGAAAGCATCTTTGCCCTCTAAGTGGAGTCATTATTATATTAAAAAAACAAAACAAAGTTTGAAAAAGATGGCCAAAATAACAGTGCATTAATTTGGTTGCTAATAAAAAAATGGGACATCTCATTTGGCTCTGTCCTTGATCAAATCAATTCCCATCTCAGTTGGATCAGTTGCTTGAAGTTCATAGCTAATTCCATCTAGCACTCTTCTCAGTCCAGCTTTTGAAGTTGCATACAATATTTTTGCTCTGATTCTTGATTCTGTTGGTGACCTATTGAGTCAAAAAAATTCCCAAAAATTTCAATAAATGTATCAAAATATGACAGTCGAGAGGGATTAACTTAGCAATATATCATGATCTGAAAATTTTTGAGCGAGTGGAGCATATAACAACAACCCAGTAAAATCTCACAAGTGAAGTCTGGGAAGGATAAAATGTACGCAGACCTTATCCCTATCCGGAGGGAGAAAGAGGCTGTTTCCAAAAGAAACTCGACTCTAAGAAGGAGCAAGTGAAAAATAAAGGTGGCAAAATCAACCTATTTTTCAACCTCCAACTCGTCCAAGGTTAAAAAATTGAGTTATAATCGATTTGTTCACTTGATCCGACGAGTTGAACCAAGAATGATTAATCAAATTATTAGGTCAAAACGAGTCAAAATACTGTAATGCAACTTAACTCCAACCATCCAAGATCAAATATAGAAATTAAATGGGAAATTATATAAATTTGGAATATCAACCTAAGAATAATACATTAACATTCACTATTTTTTTTCTCTCAAGAAACAAAATAAGAAGAAGAGATGAGGTGACGTCAAGCTAATTAGGTAGGTAGAATTATGACATGTTATTTGACTCAGGGGAATCTTTAGAATTCTCGCTGCTTAACTTTCAATTCTCTTCCGACTATCAAATGAAATGTGAATAACTCATCCTTCTCTCTTTAAAAAGAAAAGGCGTTTTCGGTTCGATTGGTGCTTGAAACAATTTTGTTTCTCGATATTACTATATCTCTAATCAATAATTTTAAATCATGAGGAACTACTGAACTCAATCAACCTTTGACAAATTGTGTCATAATTTAACTCGTTTTGATCCGTCTAAATTTGATCCAACGCGTTCATTTACCACCTCTAATGAGAATAAAAAAGAAAATATGAAGAGAATATCGATCAAAAAAGTGGAAGTAAGAAGAGCAACAAACCAGGCAATGAAGAAGATCTTGCTCTTTCGACAATTATCAACAGTAACAAAATCAAAATCAAAAACAGCATATCGACAATCATCTTTAGGTAGAGCAGCAGCAAAATCTTCATAATTTTCACCAGGTCCACCAACTTTATCAACTGTGACCAATCTTGATTTCTCATCAATTTTATAAACTATATACCTATGAACCTTTTTCCATTTCATTTCCATGTACGAGTTTTTGCATTCATCAGTCACCCACATGCCTGTAGTCGCCTGTTTAATTAGTCACATCACAAAAACAACAGTCAGTAAACGAAAATTCAGAATTTAGAGTCAGTGAATTCAGATAAATATTTACCATCTTAAATGCCATAGCCATGATGTAGGATGCAAGTAAAAGAGAGCAAATTAATTTGATATTTTGTTTTCTTGTTGGCTAAGTAAGTGAGGATGGTGGAAAATATGAATTGAGAGAGAATGGTTCAGGAGTGAAGGGTATTTAAATAGGATGTGGTTATTGAAATGCCATTAAATTATGGGTAATATTACGAGTTTATCTATACTAGATCTAAGAAATTTATGATTGAATGACTAAATTGACCTCCATTGGGATTTCTGCTTAGCCTTGGAAGCTGTTGCCTAACTATAAGAGTTATATTGGAAAATGGATTATTTTTCTAAGAATGTTCTGTGCATGTAGATCCTTACTTTAACCTATAATAATTGATTATAAGAATGATCAATGGGCTCAAAAATTTTACTGGAGACATAGTAGTTAAGCGTTTATCATCATTCTCACAGTAAAACTGGTTACTGAATACTAGTATAAACATTACCCCTCTGGTCCACTTTTTTTAAATTTTGATTCACAATAAAAAATCATGAAAGAATTAACTTTTTTTTCTTTCAAAGTTGTCATTGGAGTAAAGAGCCTAGGAGTATATTTGTTGTATTTTCAATGAACAAATTAAGGTTAATATGGTCAATTAAATTGTTAAGTAATGCTAAAAGGTGAATTCCTTGATAGGTGTGAAAACAACCAAACATCACTTAAAGTAGACCGGAAAGAGTATTATATTTAATGATAGTATTCGAATCAGCTTGCGTGCATCTCGATATTTTACTATGTCCTTTAGCGTCTCTTCTTTAGCCTAATCGCTAAATAACTTTACCACTAGAATTTAAGCAGGTGAAAGAAATCACCTAAAAATTCCATTGGTTACTACACATCAGAGAATTTTTTGAAATAGTGGAGAATCCTTTAAGAAAGCATAATACATGTAGAACATTAATATAGCCGATTCAAATTTATTAGGTCTAAACGTAGTTAATTGATGCTACAATCCTTTTTAGTCAAAAAAATCTCATTCTTAAATTTGAATTAACTAGGGATGGAAAGACATGTGACCAGGAGGTCACGAGTTCGAGCAGTGGAAACAGTCTCTTGCAGAAATGCAGGATAAGACTGCGTATGATAGACCCTTGTGGTCTGGTACTTCCTCGAACCCCTCACATAGCGGAAGTTTAGTGCACCGTGCTATCCTTATTATTTTGCCCCGGATGGAAAGACAAACTTTTTTGGCATGCCTATATATAAAGCTTTAATCAGGGAAATATCCTTCATTTTAGCTGCAAAATTGGAATATAAGTGGTCCATTTTTAGGGTTGCACAAGCACATCTCGTCTCTCTTTTTTTTCTTTGAGTTCCTCAAAAGTCTTGGCGTGAAAGCAAAGGTGGAAAAAAGGATGGGTCTCACCCTCTTATCCAATTCTACAAGTAAAAAATTTCTTTCTTTGAAGATCCCAAAAAGATAATAAAATAAAATAAAATAAATGATGAAGGAATATAAAATTCCATTTTTTGCCTTATTTCAGCTCATTGGTTCAAGAAATGCATCATATCTAACCCTTTCAATAGGTTCATTTGCCAATTGGAAACAATGAATGAGTATAAATTTCAAGGATTGTAAATCCCTATGGTTGAGTTTACCCACAAATTTGTCTAGGAATGCAGTAGAAAATCTGATTATTTAATGTTTTTGTCATCAAATAATGCTGCAAACCACTGTATGTATCAAGTACATGAATATAAATACCATGAATTGCAACAAGATATGCTAAGAAAAGAAAGAATCAAAGAAATATTAGAGAATTACAAACACTAAAATCTGAGAGAGCCCATCAGAGCAAGTAAAGATTTGGATGTGGATGAGGAGACATGTCATATTTCAACTTGGCCCTCTTTCTTTGTGAACCTAAAATTCTATCAGCCCACAATTGTATCATGTGCTTTGACTATACTTCTCTTTCCAATTTTTTACGCATTTGGATATCCGAATATATAGAGCTCGAACCAGACACCTCTAGTTATTCATCCGACCACATTCCTTGGTGATTCTATTTTTTATTGGATTAACCAGGTAACTATGTTGCCTGCGGGATAAATAGGCGCTTACGACCTAATTATTAGCACATGTAAAGAGAAAATAGTTGTCATTTCTTCAGCTTACCGAGGACATGATCCACGATAGGAAGGTGTGAATGTTGAGGATTAGGGTTGAAGGTTGACAGGTAGTCGTGCGTTAGGAGTAGGCTTACCAGTAGAACTAATACTATTCTTGTATTTTCGTTCTTTATTATTACACGTTTTGTCATTCGCTTCCATTGTCCTATTACATTGTTGTTACTATTGTTGTTGCTTCATTTTCACTGTTATTTGAGCCGAGGGTCTATCGAAAATAACTTCTTTACCTTTATAAAGTAGGGGTAATACCTGCATACACACTACCCACCCCAAACCCCACTTATGAGATTACACTGGGCTTGTTGTTGTTATTGTTGTAAATAGAAAATAGTTGCTCTTGTATGACAAGATACTTTAACACCTCTAACCTCTTAGAAATGAAACTTTCTTTTCGAATTTCTTGGTTGTAAAGTGACAAAGAGGATTGTGGTTATAGATGGAAAATAAACTACTATTCTGGATCTTCTTAATGGATGTACTCAAGTGGTAGAGCATAATTTTCCCTTACTGTAGATGGAGGCCATTCTTTGTTTGGTGGCTGAAAAAAAAGACAGTATGGTACACTAAGCTCCCGTTATGCGCGGAGTTCAAGGAAGGATCTCGGTATACTAAGCTCCTGTTATGCGCGAAATTCAGGGAAAGGTCGGACCACAAGGGTCTATCGTACGCAGCCTTATCCTGCAAAAATGCAGGAGGCTGTTAAAAAGGGCAGCCCGGTGCACTAAGCTCCAGCTATGCGCGGGGTCTGGGTGGCTGAATTTTTGGTAATTGGAAAAACTTGATACCACATATATGATCGAATGATATATCCAACCTGCAGTGTTACCCCTATGGCCTTTTCTTCTTTGTAGTTTTGGCTGTGATGCCAATTCTCTGGAAACTTAGTTTCTATGTCCTTATCCTTTGGGGATCATACAATGACTATGTGACAAAACTTTGTAGCCCAAATAGTTTCCAGCATAGGATGCTGAAACAACTGTCCGCATCATATTTCACAGATCATAAAGAGGATGTCCAAATCTGCAGAAGTCATTACCTCATGGACCAAATGTCATGGTTCACCAGAAGTTCTAATTGTTCCTAGCAGATGTAATTTAGCGGCCACAATATGTCCTGTCTCCGTATAAGAGAGGCACCAGAGAAGGTTCTTTGACAACAACAACTAACGTCACAGTCCCAAACAAGTTCGGAAAAAGGTTCTTTGGCAAATTAAATAGTAAGTGATTCAGTTCTCGTGAGCCCTCAAAACTACTTATTTCTCCCTATAGGCTTTGGTTCAGTGATAAGAACATGACGCGTAATGTATGAGTTAGAAGCACGTAATGATGCAAACCTACCGAGGTGGTCAAGTGGTAAGAACATGACATGTGATATCTGAGCTAGGCACATGTCCTGATGCGAACCTGGCAAGGACTAAAAGTTTGATATTTAAGTTGAAAAGATAGGGCGTTACACTCATCCACCTAGTTTCGAACCATGAGTCCATTGGCCCTAAAACATTTCTCAATTATCCAAATAAATGAATGATAGTACTTACTTCCTAATAATGAATGAGTACTAACAAACAAACATATCAAGCTTCCTATTTCCTTATCCTTTGGGGGTTATACAATGACAATCTGACAATTTTGTAGCCTAAAGATTTTCCAGCATAGGATGCTGAAACAATTGTCAGCATCATATATCACTGATCATAAAGAGGATGTCCAAATCAGCAAAGTCATTACCCATGGACCAAATGTCATGGTACACCACAAGTTCTAATTGTTGCTAGCAGATGTAATTTAGCAGACACAAGCTATCCTTTGTCTATTTACAAGAGAAGCACCAGAGAAGGTTCTTTGGCAACAACAACCACGCCTCAGTGCCAAACACATCGGGAGAAGGTTCTTTCGCAAATTAAAACTAAATAGACAATAACTGATTCTGTTCTGTGAGTGAGCAATGCATCATTTTGACACATGTCACAAGTTCAAAATCCATCAGGGGATGAAATCCGAGTATTTAAGTGGAGTACAGATGGACCAAGCCATTATCCATCGAACCATGCACCAATTGACCCTCGAAGATTTCTAAGCTATCCCAAAGAAATAATGGAAGTAGTTGCTTACTAACTCGATCCCTTGTAGACGCGATGAATGAGTATCAACAAGCAAAATTATCAAACAATCAAACGATGCAAAAGCATGATACAGTATAGCCTAAAACCACTGACGACCAATGAAAGCCTGGATCCATCAAGCGATTTGATTACTCTTTCCACGCTTTGAGTAATATGAACGTGAACCAGGAACTAACAGAAATAATGGCACAGATAGCATATTTTCATCTTTATTGGAAAAACGCTGTTATACAGAATAAATTTACCTCAATGCACAACTTGCCTAACAGGCAAACTCAGAAATCACAAAATGAACCCGGAAAAAGGAGAAGAATTACAGACAGAATACAACACATTGAATTTAACCAAAGGTTTGTTATACAACAAGGGGACTTCTGGCACCGTAAGCGGCAGAACTATGACCCCTACTGATAGGAAGGTGCACATAAACATCATGAACTTCCTGTTTACATACCTCTCCTCTGTCTCTGTCAACCGCATAGCAAACATATACTGTGTCGATAACGTTATCCAAAACGTGCACGAAGAAACCAAGAACCACCATCAGCAGCAGCCATGCCAGAGCAGCAATAAGGTATGCTTCGACACCAAGATGACTGGCAGCTCTTACCACAACAAAAACCTGGAAGCAAAAATAACCAAACGTATTTTTTTATTTTTTTCTTCCTTTAAGGCGGATAATGAAAAGCATTTAACCATATAGCATATATTGTTGATCAATACCCAGAACGACTCACCAATATTGCATATATTGTTGAGAGAACAAAAATTATTCCAGCCAGTATGCGAGTGGAGACGGTCTCCACAAAAACTGGAGAGAGAAGATTGCGCT